AAAAAAAAAAAAAAAAAAAAAAAACATTGGCAGTCCAGACTTTTGAAAACATTGACAAGAAAAAATACTCTTGATTCAGTCGGATTTTTGCTTAAATCAAAAGGAAATCCGCTTAAATTAAGAGGCTTGGTTCTTGATTTAAGCTAGATTCTAATTGAAACAAGAGTACTTTTTCCTGTCGATGTTTTTAAGAGTCTGGACTCTAGATCCAATGTGTTTTTCTTTCCAGTGAATTTTAAAATGGGGCAGCCATTTTAGGATTCAACCGAGATGCCGGGTTCCCGACTTTGGCCTTCAATTCAGATAGCTCCAGTCGTTCGGATTACATGAGTGTCCCAACATCTCTCTCGCGACTACTCAAAACGGTACTGCTCGAAAATATCTCACCCCGAGATCTGCATCACCATGCCAGAGACCCGGAGAGAATTTAGACCTTGTATGTCAGCGGCGAGGCGCAAGATCGATTATCGATATTTCCCCATTTGAAGCTTTGGCAAAGGATCGATTATTCAGGTGTGCGTTGCGAACACCCTGTTTATCGATCCTTTTCTATTGGTTTAGATGGCAGATCAGTCGATATATCGCAAAGCACGCTGATGCTTGGCTGAGATTATTTCACAATTGGACGTACATCTGTCAAACGGAACTATGTGCATTATGACTTGAGCCTTGTTATGCATATATCCTTATCGGTCTCAGGTCTCATGTCTTTACGCATATAGTTCCGTTTGACAGAAATACGTCCAATTGAGGAAACGATAGGTCCCGAGGGAGGTTACTCATACTCCGATCAATCGCGCACGGGGGCATCACCATCACCGCGTCTGAGTGTCAGTCCTCGGAGCGTCATTTTGACAAATAATTAAGGAGTCTCGCACGCTGCGTCTAGGTCTTTTCCCCCGATTTTTCTGCCCACCCCCCTCGCTCGTGTCTCCTTTTCTCATTTTTAGAATGTCTCCGATTTTGTGCTGCCTCTATTTTCGTAGCCGACACGCTCCTCGCCGAAGGTGATCAATTATTTTTGAGACCTTTTCTCCGCGACCCCCGCTCGCTCGAAAAAACATTGGAACTTTGTCAACGTTCCCCGTCCTGATTTTCGGGACGTCCCAACGCGACCTGTCACCCGGCTAACTCGGGAGCTAATGCGAGGTGATTCTGTGGCGTTGGAATCAGGAACAACGCAATGGCTGAGGTTTTCTTGGTCCATCGATCATCTTATCGGTGGCAATTCTGCGAGATCTCGTGAGATGAGGACTCCATTCGACCCAACCCCTCTTTCTAGACGGGTGTAATAATCACGGGTGGCGCTTAGTTCTTGGGTCATTTTTTACGTGTCAGAAGAAATGTGAAAGCGAAAAAGGAAAGAGGTCTCCCAGGGAGTGCTTCCTTTACCTTGAAACCAATATACTCGACTAGACTCGGCCACACAGGCAAAAAACGTCCATGGTTACTATGTTACTATGGTTACATGTCTAAATATAATACGATTCTTAGAAAATCCGATGGGCAGTACTAGATTTTTGACAGTAGCCTGTGTCACACTATCAAAATACTCCATCAAAACTTCAAGGTCAAGTGATGTGATTGGACCAAGTCATCGGATAAGCCAATCACAACACCTGACCTTGATATTTTGATGGCTAGCTTAGATAGTGTGACACTGACACAGGCTAGTGCCAGGCGAGTGGTCACGTGCTAAATGCAGAATTGGCACTAGTAATTAGAATTCTTTGGAATCACATAAATCTAATGAGCACTTACTACTGTTATCATTTCCTTAAAACTGTAACCCTGCTCATTATTTAACAAGTTATTTGAATTGGACCCGCACTAGCTGCTGTGAAAAATACTAGAAAAAATCTCCAAGATTTCCTCTGCGGCAAAATAATATTTTCAAACGATTGATTAAGATTAAATTACGGCCAACCCCTCCATCATACTACCCCATTGCCATAATCATCCGGGGCACTTCGCACTGGAAAATAAACCACATGGATCTGGAGTCCGGACTCTCAAAAACATCGACAAGAAAAAGTACTCTTGATTCAATCAGAATCTAGCTTACATCAAGAACCAAGCCTCTTAATTTAAGCGGATTTCGGTTTGATTCAAGAAAAAATCCGATTGAATCAAGAGTGTTTTATCTTGTCAATATTTTCTGGAGTCTGGACTCTAGATCCAATGTGTTTTTTTTTTTCCAGTGCATCAAATGGTAACGTGCTTTCGACGCGGCTAGATGAAATCAAATCCTCATAGGTTCATTCAAATTTAGGCTCTCTTTGATGATATGGAACGAACCAACCACGTTCTAACACTTTACTTCAAATCTTTGGATAGGAAAAACCGACGGATAACAAAACATGATGTTTGCATAATGCTTCGCTACTCACTGCTTAGCAATTAAGACCTTTAAATAGCGATGGTAGGAGTCGATCCTGATCTTCCAGAGGCGATCCTTAAAGATCGTCGGAGATGCGGGAGGGAACGATCGTGGATACCTCTCGAGGAAATTACGGTCATCATGAATATTTAGAGGCCGAACGTAATCGCTGCTACTGTGCTGCTCCGTATTCGACTGACCGGCAGCCGATCAGCTGGGGCCCTTCAGAAAGGTATGAGAGGACCACACCAGGAGTTCCAATCCAGGTTGCCAAGA